TTCAGCAGCAGGTCAGTGCTGGTATGAGCAGGGAAAGAATTCTGGGTGACACCCCTGATCCTCACTACTGAGACACAATACTGATACACAACTCTTCCGTGGGATGATCAGGCAATTGAGAAGAACTGAAACCCGTTCTGTGCTGCCACAAGGAAAGCAGCTCTGAAACCAGGGGGAAACACACCCGTTAGTCACATTTAGCAACCGAACACAAATCCTTCATGTTCCCGAGGAAGGAGCAACAGAGAAGCGACAGGAAAATATAGAAGACAGGAAAACATTCTGTCTCCAGCATGTACTGGAGCTCTGTGAAGTCTCTTTTCCTCCTCAGCCTCAATCCATGGTGTTTTCATCTTATGCAACGCCCTCCGCAGCCGTGACCTCCAGAGAATTGCATCGCTGTCAGAACGGGTTTGCTAGTTTGGGATGAAAGCTGCCTCCCCCAGAAAGGACGTTTTTCTGGGGCAGGCTGCACAAAGCTGGCAGAAAACGTGTCTGCACAGCTGCAGAGAGAGAGCCCCGAGCTCCTGAGGGACAGGCCCCGGAGCAGCGCCGGAATGATGCTGCCTCCAGCTGTGCTGGAAGTGCCGTGCCCGGGATGTGCCCAGCAGCAGGTAGTGGGTGTCTCAGGGCAGAGTTCTAGGTCCTGTCATCTACAAATTGGGGCAGAAGACCTTTACCTGCACTTGTAAAATCCATTTTTTGAGATTTATTCCTCTGTCATGTTAGAAACGCCACAAGCAACCTCTTCTGGTCCTGCTGAGGAAAACCAGACTGGAGTTGTGCTGCTCCTTTTTACGGGTGACTCACGGCACATTCATACCTCCAGCACAACTCTGATTTCACAGTGACATCTGAACGCTGCTCAGCCTTGTGGGGACTTGGCAAGATGAGCTGTGACACCCTCCTGCTCCAGAGTTAAGCACCTGGATTCCCAGACCAGAGAGGCAGATGTTTACAGGAGCAGAGGAGCTTGCTGTTGGGTGACTCCAATCTCACTGCTGGCTCTGAGTGTCCGATATGAAAAGCTAAACATCAAATTGTCTAACAGGCCACAGAATTAAACCCACTTATAAGCCTTTAATTATAATTTTCCTGGTGATTTTAGAAGATGCACATAATAGAGAGAAATTCCCCACACTGGCTGGACAGAGCAGGTATCCCTATGCTTATTTTGAGGGAGATGGGAAAGAAAAACAAGGTGGAGAACAACAATCCTTGTGCTGAGGTGACAAGACTAGGAGCAGGAGGAAAGGATTAACCCCAGTCATTCTCCAAAACTGAGACAAGGAGCTCTGATGAAGGGATAGCTCCAATAACTTTCTGCTGGAGGTCAGGCATTCTCCTAGCCTGTTACCTGCTGCTGAATTTGGCTCACCAGCTCCCAGACCTGCCGTGAGCTGGCTGTGGAGAGCAGGCAGTTATTCTGCCTCGATGCCACTAATGAGCTGAGCTGCTCATCAGGCAGAAGAAAAGAGTCACAAAGCATGAGGCTGACTGATGGGGAAGGAGCAAGAGGGAATTAGCGACGCCAGAGGCCATGAGAATGAGCAAAAAAGGAGAAAAATAGGTTAAGGCAGGAAAAGAAGAGAGGGAAAACAAATCTAAGCATGCATGAAGCCTTCCTCTTCGAGAGGGCTGCGAATGCCTCCTGGCGAGGCCACAGGAATTGGGGGTTAGTCACAAAACATTACTAATCTTAACAACTCTACTACAGAAATACTCCCACAATGTCTTACAGACCAGCTTCGGCGGGTAACCTTTTGTAGAGCTCCTTCACCTCCTCGTGTTTGATCTTGCCTCTGGCCACGCTCTGTTTGCGCATCTCGGCCATTTCGTTGCACCACTCCTCAAACTTGCAGTTATCCCGCTCCACCAGCTCCTGCAGAAAGGCTGTTGGGAAAGAAGAAAGCCCAGGAATTGAAGGAAAAATGCCAGCTATGTTAATTAGGATGGGTTATCTGGGGATAGCAAACCTAAAAACTCGCTCACGCAGCCACGCCACGCGAGGCCTTTCCCCGAGCCAAGAGCATGGATGTTGCTCTCTCCAGTATTTATGGCTGGAGATGATTAAATACAACGATTTGCACCCAGGAGAATAATTTACTTGGGGTTGGTGGCTGTAGTAGGTGCAGCTGCGCTGTCCTGCCAAGGACCCATCATTCCCAGGGGAGAAACACGACCCTGTCACCCCACGGATACACATGAAGCCTGTCCTGACCTGTGATCCAGCATGCTGCAAATCCAAGGACAAAGAGCCCTCAGGAGATGGGAGATTAGCCGGGGCAGATCAACAGAAAGGTGAGGGAAATAGGACTTTTTGCTGTCACCGATGGAAAAAAAACAAACAAACCAAACCTCAGCAGGGGAAAAAAAGATAAACCACTTCCCTCGCAGGGCTGGTGTGAGAGAGGGGGAAAGCAATGCTTATCTGAGGCCTTTTCCTATTTAGAACTATTTTGAAAAGCTGAGAAGTTGATTCTTATGCACAATTCTCCACCTTGGGAGAATACACAGTGTTAAAAAACAACCAGGCTGACCTCCTTGAGGTCAGAGCCAACTTACGTCTCTCCACTGTCCCGGAAAAGCTGCTTTTTAACAGCATCAAAGCAAAATGCCTCAAATTTACAGTTGCATGAAACCTTCCCACAACCACAGAGCTGACTGCTGCCCTTCGCTCCCTGTTCCCTGGCAGCATTCCACGGGAAACAAAGGCAACCGCGGGGCTGTGCAGGAATGTGGAGCTGGGTGGGGAGGGCCCCGTGCAGTTATTGTTCTGGGCACAGGGGTAGGAGGAAAGCAGAGCAAGAAAGCTCAGGAAACAGGCTGAAAATGCAGATCCAGGCAGGAATCGGTGCTAATTCCTGAAGTTTTGTGGCTTGAAGGGTGGGGTTTAAGGGTTGGAAAAGGTTTGGGGGTGTTATTAGGAGGGAATACGCTGTGTGATTTACCCCTGGGCAGAGATCCAAAGGGACACACCACCTCCGCTGGCTCTGCTCTGCGGGAAAGGGAGAGAGGGGGAACACACCTCAGCACCAGGGGCCTAATTAATACTTTTAATCGAGCAGCAGGCAAATGTGAAGCATCATTAAAGGCACAGGCCAAACCCCCGGGGATGCTGCCACCCCCACAACTCCACGGCATGGCACGAAGGTTCTCGGCCCAACTCCCGAGCAGGGCTCGGAGCCTCTTATTTTCACATCATTTATTCCTGATGTGGCAAAGATGAAGCACTTGCAGAGGAAACCTGACATCTGTCAGGATTATTCACCTCCAGCACAGTGCGTGGACTGCTGTTGACATTTAACCACAGTGTTCTCCTGCGCCTTCAGAATCCGAGCAGGATCCTGCCAGCGAATCCCGGTGGGATGATCTCCACCTCCCTTCCTATCTTGACCAGCTGGTTAAGATAGAGAGGTCTGAGCAGGTGCAGGGATGGATCATCAGGTTAATGTTAATTAAGTGCTAGGAAAGCCCACATGTTTCACTGGTCATGGCACCGAGACACCACACAGCACCTTTGGGGGCTCATGGAGAACAGTCTAAAATCATGGAATCCCAGAACGGTTTGGGTTGGAACAGACCTTGAAGATCATCCAGTTCCACCCCCTGCCATGGCAGGGACACCTTCCCCTAGCCCACACTGCCCCAAGCCCTGTCCAGCCTGGCCTGGAACACTTCCAGGGATGGGGCAAGCTACAGTTTCTCTGGGCAACCTGTGCCAGTCCCTCAGCACCCTCACAGCCAGGAATTCCTTTTCAATATCCCATCTATCCCTGCCCTCTGGCAGTGGGAAGCCATTCCCCCTGGTCCTGTCCCTCCAGGCCCTTGTCTCAAGTCCCTCTCCAGCTTTACTGGAGCCCCTTTAGGCACTGGAAGGGGCTCTAAGGTCTCCCCAGAGCCTTCTCCTCTCCAGGCTGAACACCCCCAGCTCTCCCAGCCTGGCTGCAGAGAGGCTCCAGCCCTTGGAACATCTTTGCAGTCCCAAAATAGGGCCTTGAGCAAAATCCTGATTCTGGGCCCACCTGGAGCATCACAGCATGAGACGGATTCCAAGCTCACTCACCTGGCACTTCCACTGTAAGGGACTTCTCCCGGGCCTGCAGCCTGTACACCAGCATGTAGGCATTGCGGGAGCAGTGAGTGCCCTTCCCACACTTGGGTTTTCTGGTCTGGGACTTGGACGGCTCTGCTGCAGGACAGAAGGCAAAACACATCAGCAACACATCAGCTCCTTCCCTGATCCTCCATTAATGGGATAAGCTTGCCACCTAGCCAGCCTCCCTCTGCCAGGCCTCTGTGCCAAGCACTGGGCTTGGTGTGGCTCAAAATTGTATCCCAAAGAAAGCCCCAAATCCCTCCAGCCTTTCTGGGTAAATCAAAGGGACTAAATTTAGGAGCCTGTTCTGAACTTCTCTTCTCCAAGAACCTCTCCAAGCCAAAAGCAACTCTTGCAAAAACATCCTTTCTCCCTTTTGCCTCTTGTTGGTGTTCTGACTCCAAAGAAAAGAGTCAACTCCTCAGGGAAGAAAATTGTATTTAGAAGTGATTGTGGACATGAAAAAAACACACAGCAAAGGTTCTGGGGAGCCAGCAGCCATGGAAAAGGCTTTTTTGGAGCAGCTGGTGGGGGTGTAAAGTTGTGTTGCAAGAGCTGCTGTTTCCAGACAGATTCTCAGGCAAGGAAAACACTTATCTACAGCTGTAGCCTTCAAATCAACACTTAAAGGAGCAATGCTCCAAAATCCAAACTCTAAATGGACCACTGAAAGATTAAAAGGCCTGTCTGTCCTGAACACTGAAAAAAATTCATGTGTCTCTCCTCACACCATCCAGAGGACTTCCTAGACTCCATTTACTTGCATGTTCTCCAAATATTTTCTAAATTGTTCCCATCTGCAGGGCTAGGACTGTCCCTCGACAGACCTCTGCTCTATGTCACTGACCTTCTCCTGCTGCTACGTGTATTGGTAACAAAGACTTAGTTTTGACCAGAATAGGCAAGTAACATCAAAACATGATAAAAATATTAAGCCCCAAGCTCAGAGAGCCTCCAAAACACACTTTACTTCTATTCTACAAGCAGCCTGGGATTGAAATACAAGAAGTAAGAATACCTACTTGTGGTTAAGCATAAAAGTTTAACAAATCGAGGCCACAGAGGTTTATTTGCATCTTGTTTTGCTGAGCTGGGTGAGTGGCAGGGGAAAAACAAGGGCTGAGCAGCTCTTGTCGCCTTTCAGGGCTGAATCTCTTCTCACACCACTAGATGTCTGGCCAGTTCCACTCCTGGGCTGGGAGTGAGCAGAGCCAAACCTGAATATGACAGAGCTGCTGGGGCAGGCAGAGCTGGAAAAGCCCTCCAAGACTGAGTCCAACCATTCCCCCAGTACTGCCAAGGCCACCACTAATCCACATCCCTAAGCTCCACATCTACACCTTTCTTGAACACCTCCAGGGGTGGTGACTCCACTACTGACCTGGGCAGCTGTGCCAGTGCCTGAACACCCCTTCAGTGAAGAAATTTTCCCTAATATCCAATCTAACTGTCCCTTGGCACAACTTGAGGCCATTCCCTCTTGTCCTGTCCCTTGTTCCCTAGAAGCAGAGCCTGACCTGGCTGCACCTCCTGTCAGAGAGCTGTAGAGAGCGAGAAGGTCCCCCCTGAGCCTCCTTTTCTCCAGAGTGAGCCACCACAGCTCTCTCAGCTGCTCCTCAGAAGTTCTCCAGACCCTTCCCCAGCTACACTGCCCTCCTCTAGAGCAGCACTGTGCAGGTGAGGGCAAGGAAAATGGGAGAGGGAGGCTGCTGCCCCTTGCACCAAACCAAGAGAACACTTAAATCTGCAGGTGTCTTCCTCAAGGATGCTTTAAAGCAAGGCAACATTCCATAAATTCCAACCACAGCAAAGCAGGAGCATCCTGGTGGGTCAGCATTCCTGGGACTGCCTGCACCTGTGCTAAAGAACGTGGAATGGCTGTAAATCCCAGCACTCCAAATCCTAATTAAACACTTAACTGCTCTTACTCATTGACTAGAGAGTGAGAGACCCACAGGTCCAACCTCAGCCCAAGCTCTCCAAGGAATCTCCAAGAACTCCAGCCCAGGAACATGGTGATCTGGGCAGCACACACAGAGCCAGCAATGGCCAAACAGAAAAGTACCATGGAGAAGTAAAGAGCTCAAAGTAAAGAGGCAGTTTTCACTTCCAACTTGTTGTTTGCGTCAAGAATTCTTCTACAGCCTCCAAAGGAAAACACCTCAGTGGAAATCAAGCCACAATGTGTTAAGGAAACTGAAAGCATTCCCTTATCAGTTCCGTGCTGCTCGCCTGTCCCACCCTGATAGGGAAGTGCTGCTCAAGACAGAAATGTCTTATCTGCCATGTGGCAGCCAGAGAAATACTAGAGGAGCTGATCACGAGGTGTAAACACTCACGGGGCTGAAACCAAGCAAATCTGTCTGCAATTAACAGGGCTGCTGTTTCACATGTTGCTCCTGAGCCATGGAGCGTGGGGGAGAGATCAGCAGAGCAGCCGGAGGCTAAGCACGGGCAACTCGTGGGTTTGGTGAACAGAGTTATTTTAAAAGGGCACTCACAACTGAAAGGTTTTACCTAGATCTTCCTCAATCCCCAGCTGCAGTTTCTTCCCCTCCATCTTCTCGATGTCTTCATCATTGAACTTGTACCATTCCCCAGTCTGTGGGTCCTTCACGTGGGCGATGTAGTGCCCGGAGTAAGCACTCACTCCGCGGTGGATGAGCACAGCGCTCAGCTCGTACACGTACACTCCATCTGCAAGGGAAGCAGCACTCGTGCACCCCTCTACCTCCCATAGCACAAATCTTTTATCTCCTAAAACTCAATGTTTTCACCGGGCAACAAAGACTGGACTTGGACTTGCATCTCTCCAGGACATCATTAAGTGGGCTGTAGCTTCCACAACACACTTAGCAAGGAATGATTTGAAATGTGAGCTTCAAACTACTCTTGACATAATTTTCCATCAAAAAGTGGATTCAGAGGAATCCCAGAATGGTTTGGGTTGGAGGGGACCTTAAAGCTCATCTTGTTCCACCCCTTGACATGGACAGGGACACCTTCCACTAGACCAACTTGCTCCAAGCCCTGTCCAACCTGGCCTAGAACACTCCCAGGGATGAGGCAAGCCACAGTTTCTCTGGGCAACCTGTGTCAGTGCCTCAGCACCCTCAACAGGGCAGAATTTTTTCCTAAACAGGATCACAGAGATCTCCTCTCATCTGCCAAGGGGCAGCGAGTAAAGATAACAATCCCCCTCCCAAAACTCACTTTTCTGCTCCATGAAAGGCTCCATGTCCAGCAGCTCTGAGAACCCAATATAGGTGTTCAGCTTCTTCTTATGGCCAGTTTGTCTGTGTGGAGGCAAAGCTTTGGCTCAAGGCACAGCAATAACAGCTCACATCCCCAGATAACTCCTCTTGAACCCCTTGAGCACCCCCAGAGAAGCTGAGACTCCCCCTCATCCTCTCAAGTGAGAGCAGGGAGAGCAGAGCAGGACTTCCCAAAGAGCTGCCCCACACCCCAGGGTGTTACCTGTCGAACACGAAGCGCATGAGCTGCAGGTTGAGGGTGCAGGGCAGGCTGAGCAGCCTGATCTTCCTCGTGGCATTCTGCTTGCTCTGACAAGTCTCACAAAAGTAACGATTGTCCCCCTCTAATTTTTCTTCCTGAGGGTGGAAAGGCAGAGACAAAGGTCATGAGAACAGGTCAGCACTGAAAAGTCAACAGAACTACTCAACAGCTGGAGAACGAAAAGCACCAAAGTTAGTTCAACTGTTTAAGGCTTTATTCAGCTGCTCACAAATTAATCTCTCAGTCAGGAAGACACTGATAACTGCACTTTACAGCGTGGCCACAGCAGGCTGCCCTCACTCTAAGGCCAGTTTCAGAACGAATCCGCCCCGTTCCAGGTTCCCAGGTCTCCTACAAGACTGTCAGGTTTGTTCCTCGCTTGACTGAGTTGGGTTATACCAAAAGAAATAATTAAATCACCCTTTTATGAGTTCACATGAACCAAGTTAATGTAAAGCCACACTTTAGCCTGGAAACTACAACCCTCTGTGCCCAGCCACCCAAAATCACCCTGCAAGAGTCATTTCTACTCCTAAGTAGATCCAAAGGCAGGATTAGGCCAGAGGAGAACTCCAACCCCCCAAAAGGTCACTGGGTTGTTTTGTGTGAAGGAGGAGCAGACAGCGTTGAGTTCACCCATTCAGGAGTTTAATGTGTGCACCCAAACCAGTTTTTTCTCATAGCAGAGCTTCCACAAGCAGAGCAACTGGTTTGCTGAGTGCAGCAGCAGCCAGACAGCTCAGGGACAGCTTAGCTCTGTCCGAAATATTCTGAGTGCAATTCACACCTTAATGTGCTGGAGCTGAACTTCAGATCCAGGCAAATTTTCAAGCTGAATTACAAGCACTTGCAGCTGTTCCTGCAGCTATTCCCAGCACTCCCTAGTACTTCTGAGAGCACATTTTCGAGCAGGGAATGTCTCCTGTTGCTATGCAGATCAGCACTGACACAGAAAACACAAAAAGCAGCTGTTCTCCCGGTGCTATCCATGACAAAGCATGCAGGGACTCTCTCCCAACTTTCCTGGCAAAGTATTTTAAGGAAAAACGCAACTTTCAAGTGCTTTTTAAAGTCGTAACATGAGCAAGGAGTGGCTCCATGCCTCAATCCTCATTTTTTGTGTCCACAGAAAAGAAACATTTTCACTTGGATGCATCTCACTGAGCCAACTCAGTGGCTATGCTCCCATACCTACCTCAAAGGCTGGGAATTGGAGTAAGGAATTAAAACACCTTGCTAAAAATAGCAGAACTCCAAGCCCAGCGAGCTCATACCTTGAGGAATTCCGTTATACAGTCCGTCAACTGCTTGTGTCCTTGGATGTTTAACTCCAGCTCATAAAATTTAGACACCAGTTTGGATTCTCTGCCACACTGGTTGCAGCTAGGATTGAAAAGAAGACAAAACTACATGAGGACAGGTCATGGTTCAGTGCCTGAACTCCCCAGCCACTAGTAAAATACTCCTTGAACAAAACCAGAAGAAAAGGTGAAGTCAGGGTTAAGGAGGTTCAAACCTTCACACCACAAAGACTCCATGAGGAGCTGTAAACAGGATAAGAGCATATACTAGGACCTGTTACTACTTGCACACACCATTTCATACCATTTTTAAAGTGAAATCCACAGCTCTGAGAACACAGGAATGAAAACACAACACCCAGGAGGATGCAGTCTTCTGGCTGCAGGACTTGTCATGCCACTAACTCACTAGCAGGTTTAATTGTTGAATTTTCATGCAAGGATTAAAAGCAGCTGGAGAACTGACACAGCAGCACCAATCACACACAAACAGGAAACAAAGAGCTAAAAATCTGTCAGAAAGTGTTTCTGCAGAACTTACCTGCCTGCTCTAGTTGCAGGAGAGATTTGCCCTCCCAAACCCTCCTGAAAATGTAACTGTTTACCAGAAGGTTTGGCCCCAAGCTCAATACTTACACAGTGACATAGGCATACTCTCCACAGAACTGCTTCTGCACTATGTTTCTGACATCTGGGTTTTTTTGTTTGGATAAAGTGTCTTCCAGCAGTGACATGAACAGCTTGGAAAACTCCTGAGCATCCTGAAAGAGAACCCCAAGTTCATTAACAATCCACCACAGCATAATGCTCAGTCACAACCCTGCCACTAATTCCCTGCTAATTACCCCAGCCCTGCACACAGGCTGCACTGAGGCTCCGTGCACTGAATGGGAAATAAAGACCAGTCAGGAGAAGCAAAGGAATAAGAGAAATTTGGCTCTCAGGAGTGTGAGGCCCTCAGTGTGGGAGCACAGCCTGAGCTCCCCTGGCTGCTCCCCAGCCCCGCTGGGGGTCTGACTGCTGCCCCACTCCTCCCAGCGCTCTGGAAGGGATAAAACCACTCCTGTGGAGCTTTCCAGCCCCTGAATTCTCATTTTTCAAAGCTCAACATGCAATTCCAGCTGTCCCTGCTTATATCATAGGTGAGAGGAGAAATAACCCCCCCCAGAAATGAGAAGTTGCCCTGTGGCTGATCCCTGCAAGGCTTGGGAGCTTCCCCACGCCCAGCTCCAGGCCTTCCTCTCCCACCCTGGCTCTCCTCTTCCAAAAACAAACAGCTTTTGGCCTCTCCCAGCTGTACTTTCGTGTCCCTGGTCAGTGGTGGCTGCTTCCTTCCCAAGGAAACACGCTGCCGTGGTGTAACCCCATGCAGCTCCTCGTTCCCTGCCCCCCAGCAGGTGGATGCAGACAGTCAGCCAAGGCCTCTCCATACTCCTATCTCAGAGTGACACTGAGAAAGGCAGCAAACGCCTTGGCTCTGTGTAAGCACTGCTCAGCAATGACAAAAACATCTCCATGTTATCAATCTTCTGTTCAGCACAAATCCAAAACACAGCTCCACAGCAGCCACAGTGAAGAGTTTTACCTACCCTAGCCCTAACCAGCACACAGGGGCAATGCTCAGGCCCTTCCTCCAGCTCCAACCCTCCCACTACTTCTTCACAGGAATTTCTGAGCCCTTCCCCCAAGTTCTCTCACAGGACCTGCAGCACTCACCCCCCTTGGGCCCCAGCTGGCTCCTGGGGACCCCCCGAATTTCTCCTCACCCCACGAGGGCCCTTCAACTCCCCCCAACCACCTCTGGGGCGGAGCAGCCTGGGAAGCACCTGGAAAGGACCTCACGGCAGCTTCAGCTGCACCTGGCCCCGTGCTGGGGTCACCTGGGTGTTAACAACACTCCCTGTCCCCAACCCAACACTCCCTGTCCCCAACCCAACACTCCCTGACCCCAACCCATCGCTCCATGGGCTCCTCCTGATCTCCCTGTGCCCAACCCATCGCTCCCTGCCCTCATTCCATCACTCCCTGTCCTCATCCCATCACTCCCTGCCCCTATGTGATCCCTCCATGGGCTCCTCCTGATCTTCCTGTTCTCATCCCATCACTCTCTGCTGCATTCCATCACTCCCTGTGCCCATCCCATCATTCTCTGCCCCATCCCATTACTCCCTGCCCTCATCCTATCCCTCCACAGGCTCCTTCTGATCTCCCTGTCCTTATCTCATTGCTCTGTGCCCCTATCCTACCCCTCCATGGGCTCCTTCTGATCTCCCTGTTCTCATTGCATCGCTCCCTGTCCCCATCTCATTGCTCTGTGCCCCCATCCTACCCCTTCATGGGCTCCTCTTGATCTCCCTGTTCTCATCTCATCCCACTCTGCCCCATTCCATCACTCCCTCTCCCCATGTCATCGCTCCATGGGCTCCTCTTGATCACACTGTCCCCATCCCATCGCTCCCCACCCCGTCCCATCGCTGCCCGCTCCATCCCATCGCTCCCTGCCCCCATTCCATCCCTTCATGTGCTCCTCCTGATCTCCCTGTGGTCATCTCATCCTTCTCTGCCCCATTCCATCATTCCCTGTCCTCATCCCATCCCTCCATAGCTCCTCCTGATCACCCTGTTCTCATCCCATTGCTCCCTGCCCCATTCCATCATTCCCTGTCCTCATCCCATTGCTCCCTGCCCCATCCTATCCCTCCATTGGCTCTTCCTGATCTCCCTGTTCTCATCTCATCGCTCCCTGACCACACTTCATCGCTCCCTGGGCTCTCTGTTCCTCCTGCACCCTGGGAAGGGCCTGGAGGCCCACTTCTCCCTTCATGTGCACACCCAGCAGCATAACCCAGCTGGGAGCTGTCAAATCAAGGCCCAGGGGCAATTCCAGGCTTCTGGAACTGGCAAGAAGCTTCTCCTACCCACCTGCTGCTGCCCTGTGTCCAGGCCCAGCGCCTTGACGAAGGCTGAGGGATCAATGTAGCGTCGTTTGCTGTTCTGCAGCAGAGCAAACAGGTACTGCAGGTGCTCACAGATGCTCTGGGGCTCATAGTCTGAGAAAAAACACAAGAAAGGAACAGGAATTCAGGGCAAGAGGAGATTGCTGCTTCTGGCTTTGTCAGAGGAAGTTTATGGCTAGAAGTGATGGTCTCAGGAGCTGGTTTGATGTGTAAGGAGAACTGAAGGGGTTTGAGTTGGTGATGAGGACAAATCCCAGCACAAACCAAATGCAGAATAATTTAGGTTAGAAAAGACCCTTAGGATCATCAAGTCCAACTGTAAATGTTTGCTCTCTACAACTCCCTGACAGGAGGTGCAGCCAGGTGTGGTCAGGCTCTGTTCCCAGCGAACAATGGACAGAACATGAGGAAACAGCCACAAGTTGTGCCAGGGGAGGTTAGATTGGATATTAGGGAAAATTCCTTCATGGGCAGGGCTATCAGGCTGCCCAGGGCAGTGGTGGAGTCACCATTCCTGGAGGTGTTCAAAAAACATGAAATGTGGCACCTAGGGACATGGTCAGTGGTGAACGTGGCAGTGCTGGTTAGTGGTTGGATTTGATAATCTTGGAGGTCTTTTCCAACCTCAATGATTCCATGATCCCAGCCTGCAGTGCCCAGCAGGAGCTGTGAGGGAAGGGTTTGAGCAGTGTGTGCTGATCACCAGCAGCAGCAGCTTCTGCTTTAACCCAAATGGTGAAACATCATCTCACACCACAAAATGGGAGCAGAACTGAGGTGTCTGCGCTGACCCCAAGCACTCCCCACACACAGTTCCACCACCTGAGGCCGTGGCAGCCACCCTGGGGGCAACTGGGAGCTTTAATCCTACCTGGGACATGAACTTTTGCCCTCCCACGGGATAAGTGCAGCTCTGTGATAGCACCTGATCCATGTGTTTCCACCCCCAGCAGCATCACTAAGCTCCGAACCACTTTGGGAAACAGCCAGGCAAGAAATCACCCCAAATCAGACTTTTTAACTAGCTCAGATCACTCCGATTTCAGAAACTCCTTGGATTAAGGTTGGTTTCTTCCCCAACTCCAAGCGATGGGCTCAAACCCAACAGTGTGGAAACATTACGAGTGGCTGCAGCTTCCCCCATGGGTTCTCCTGATAAACTCATCCCAAAGCCAAAGTTGTAGGAGCACACCCCTTCCCCAGGAGAGCATCCCCACCTCTGTCCTTGGGGACTCCTTCCCCGCAGGTGCTGGGGCACAGGTACAGCGCCTGCCGCAGCTCTAGGTTCAGGAACCACATCTGCAGGAAGGTGTTGACGTAGCAGGTGGCCCCGAGGTTCGTCAGCCCCACGAACGCATTCTGCAGGGACAGAGAAGGGAACAGGGGTCACCTCCCCTCGTCCCCGGGCCATCGGGGGCGGGTTATTGTGGGGCTAGGTGTACCTTCTTGCGGCGCTCACAGTTGGGGTCGTCGATGTTGTGGAAGCTGTTCTCATCGATCTCGCCCAGCCACACGTGTTCGCCGATGCCCACCAGGCAGTTGGGGTTCCCTCGGCAGTTCCTCCTGGGGAGCCACACCATGGTGTCACCACAGTGTCCCCTGGGAGGGGATGAGGACAAGGGGGACCCCATAATACTAAACAGAGTGAATGGGGTGGAATGCAGGTCACCCCCCCACAAAAAAATGGTGGTTATGGATCAACAAGGAGGTGGAGAATGGGGGGGGACACGACGATGACATCCATCCATACAGGACTGGGGGTGTCCACTGTATCTGGGGAG